AAATTATTGATAACCAATTTATTACATATGCTTACTCAGAGTAAATTTAGGTCAGCAGTTCCGTATACTTTATTCGATAATATGTTATTCGTTATTCTCACATCAAGTGATTCGCTGTTGTTTAACATCCCCGATGTGGCTGCATTTGATGTGCATGTTGACAAGGTGCCTACCTTGTATATACTGGCTCCAGGAGGCAGCTCGTCGTTGCTGGAGTGGACGGGGTACACGGTCCTCGTAACCATGCTAGGCATACCCAGTAGTTCAATGCACCCAGTGTGGAGCGGACTACGGTCCCGATACCGCCTGGTCTGCGATTGATTCCCAAATACAGCGTGCGTGTGTTTGCCTGTGAAACAGCGTGGGCCGGCTCCGTTGATGAAACGTGGTTCCCATCCACCTGCCTCCCGGTCTTGTTTCTTCGGGTTTACACTGGATATGGGGTGTGTGGTTGGAGCTGTGAGTGGTGCAGCGCAAGCCATTCATGGTCCCTCTGTAGGCGCAGGCGTCCTGTGGCTGGCCACAGTGACAGACAAATCCGAAACCGGATGCCGCCAACCATATATGCATGAGATGTGCCCCATGCTGAGGCTGATGTTGCATTCATGATGCTTCTTCACCGTAGTTGGGCTAAACCAACTTACACTTACACTAGGTCTTTTTAAGCCGGATAAATTTCATTCCACTTTATTTGCTTTGTTCTGCCTACCTGAATAATCTTCTATTAACTGGCCACATTGCTTACGCTAATTGTGCTTATCTTCGTTAACTTTATTGCGTTTGTAGCATTTTCTGAGTCACTTCTGGACATTTTTACTTATCGCGGATTCGTTGATAACTACCTTAATTCATATGCTAATTTCTCGAAGAATTATGTCGGTATTGCCGTATTCTTTAACGGATATATTTTATTTGATAATGTCATTTCAAGTGATTGACTGTTGTTTAACATCCCGGGTGTCGTTGCGCTTGATGTGTATGTTGACAAAGTGCCTACCTGTCTATTACCCACTACCTTGTCCATACTGGCTCTAGGAGACAGTTGGTCGTTTTTGGAGGGGACGGGGTGCACGGTCCTTGTGCTCGTGCTAGGCTAGAAGAGTGGTTCCATACACTCAGTGTGGAGCGGAATACGGTCCAGCCACCGTCTTGTGTGTGCTTGATTTCCCAAGTACAGCGTGTTTGTGTTTGCCTGTGAAGGAGTGTGGGCCGGCTCCGTTGATGAAACGTGGCTCCCATCCACATGCCTCCCGGTCTTATTCCTTCGGGTTTACACTGGATATGGGGTGTGTGGTGCAGCGCAAGCCACCCATGGTCCCTCTGTAGGCACAGGCGTCCTGTGGCTGGCCACAGTGACAGGCAATTCCGAAACCGGATGCCGCCAACCTTTTTGTGGGAATATATATATATATATATATATATATATATATATATATATACATATACATATATATATATATCTGTGGAACCAAACGTGGCGGAAGAGCAATGTGAATTCCGTTCGGGTCGCAGCACTATAGATATGGTGTTTGCGGCTCGTCAGTTGCAAGAGAAGTGCAGAGAACGACAAAAGCCTTTGTACTCGCTTTTTGTTGATTTCACCAAGGCATTTGATACGGGGAACTGCGAGGCACTGTGGCTGGTGTTGGGTAAGTTTGGTTGCCCGCGTAAGTTTGTAAGTTTAATTGAATGTCTGCACAGTGGTATGCGAGCGAGGGTGCAGCTGAGTGGAGAGACCTCTGATGACTTTACAGTTGTCTCTGGTGTGAAGCAAGGCTGTGTCTTAGCTCCTGCCCTGTTTAATATCTATCTTCATGCAATGTTGTCTTGTGCTTTTGATGCCGCTTGTGCTTACGGTGTTCGTGTGGAGCACCGTATTGATGGTGGGTTGCTGAACATCCGTCGTTTCGGTGCGAGAACTCTAGTCTGTGAGACAACTATCCGTATGTTGTTGTTTGCTGACGACTGTGCGTTGTTTTCACACAGCGCGGATGAGTTGCAGCACATGAGTAGTGCTCTGGCTTCGGCAGCGGCCAAATTCGGGCTCACCATCAACACAAGCAAAACTGTCTGTCTCTTTCAGCCTTCACCGGAGGTGCAATCTTCAATATTGCCGCAAATCAGCATTGGTGCTGAAGTATAGGAAACCACCTCCCGCTTCTGCTACCTTGGGAGTGTGATGTCGACTGATCAGCAGCTACACGTTGAGTTGCGTAATCGCGTATCGAAGGCGGCAGCTGCATTCGGGAAGCTTGAGTACCGAGTGTGGAACAACCATCAGCTTAGCATTGGCACGAAGTTGATGGTGTACAAATCCATGGTACTGTCCGTTCTTCTATACGGCAGTGAAACGTGGACGATGTACCGTCGGGATGTGCGATATCTCGAGCGGTTCCATCAGCTGTGTGTGCGACGAATTTTGCGGATCGGCTGGGGCGCCAGAGTTGCAGACACGGAAGTGTTGCGCCGAAGTGGGATGTATGCAGTGGACGGCATACTTTTACTGCGACACCTGAGATGGCTCGGTCATGTGAGCCGTATGAATTCGACGCGGATACCGAAACAACTCTTATACGGTCAGCTGAGTATTGGGAAGCGGCACGTGGGGAAACCAAAGTTACGTTACCAGAACATGATCAAAGTGAGCCTCACACGTTCTAATCTTGATTGCAGATCATGGGAATCGAAGGCGGTTGATCGGCGTGCATGGCGCGATCTAATCACGAAGGCAGTTGCTGAAGTGCGGGAGAAATCCCTCATGCATGCAGAGAATAAGCGGCAGTTGCGGAAGCGGCAAACACCGATGAATTGTACTCCATCGACACCGAGCGCATGGTGCTGTAGAACATGCGGTCGCGAGTGCCTTAGTCAGGCAGGCCTAGTGAGCCATGAGAGAGGTCACTCGGGACCACTGCCGAAGCGACGACGGGTCCCGCAGTGAACGTAGGCAGCACCGGCGCAGCGTTTGTAGGCACGCTGAATTCGATTTACTAACCGCATGCTTGCATGCCAAGTCTCTTTATTTCAGGTGGTGGGTTTTCGGTTCTCTCCTAATGCCTTTCTTTCTCATATAAATGTCTAGTGGGCCATGAGCTGTGCCATCTGGGACCACTACAGAAGCGACGACGGGTCCTGCAGAGAATTACGACGAGCCGGCGCAGCGTTTGTAGGCACGCTGAATTCGATTTACTAACCGCGTGCTTGCATGCTAAGTCTCTTTATTTCAGGTGGTGGGTTTACAGTTTTTACCTTAATGCTTTTCTTTCTCATATAAATATCTCCCTGTACTCTATTCCATTAACTTGCACACATCGCTTCAGCCAATTGTATTCGATTTCCATAACATTTTTGTATTCGTGGCATTCCGTGAACTATACTTCCTGACCTCGTGCACTTAGCTAGGATTTGTTTGTAAACAACTTATTACGTATGCTATTTAACTAAGGTTTATGTCACCGTTTCCTTATGCATTAATCGAGATTTTCTTTTTTTCTTTCTCTCTCTCAAGTGTTTGGCTGTTGTTTGATATCCCCGGTGTGGCTGCGCTTGATGTGCATGTTGACAAGGTGCCTACCTGTCTATTACCCACTACGTCGTCCATACTGGCTCCAGGAGACAGTTGGTCGTTGCTGGAGGGGACGGGGTGCACGGTCCTTGTGGCCGTGTTAGGCTCGAAGAGTGGTTCCATGCACTCAGTGTGGAGCGGACTACGGTCCAGCCACCGCCTTGTGTGCGCTTGATTCCCCAAATACAGTGTGCTTGTGTTTGCCTGTGAAGGAGTGTGGGCCGGCTCCGTTGATGTAACGTGGCTCCCATCCGCACGCCTCCCGGTCTTATTCCTTCGGGTTTACACTGGATATGGGGTGTGTGGTTGGAACTGTGGGTGGTGCAGCGCAAGCCATCCATGGTCCCTCTGTAGGCGCAGGCGTCCTGTGGCTTGCCACAGTGACAGGCAAATCCGAAACCGGATGCCGCCAACCATATATATATCGCCAAAAAGTAGTGGAACACAGGTCACATTATGTTCCAACTACGTACCAGCTAAAATGGGACGGACATGATAGCGGAAAAGGAAGTGGATGATAAAGAACGGTGTACTTTGGGTTTCAAGGCAAAATTTCGCGTCGGAGATTAAGAGGTAAAGTGTTTAGCTAAGGAAATAATGACAGCGCACAAAAGCCAGCAACACAGGCGTATTCAATGTAGCCCTAAAATTAAACTCTTTCGAGGCGTATGCTGAAGTTGTCTTTTCGTGAAAAGACAGTGAATGCCGCAAGTGTTTCGTTAATGCTACCGTCATCACGCGGCAGTCATCTATTTGTGATTTTGCGGTTTTCGCTATGTGTGGGCGCGTTGATTCTGAAAGTCTGCAAATTACTTTAATTTCTAGTTGAATCCGGTTTCATTCATCAGTGATTCGTTTTGCCAGTATCTCCTGTTTATTACGAATGCAAGGCAAGTGAACGACAGTTTGAGTGATGATGGTGAACGATCTAGGATATGGACCATCTCCAAAAAATAATTATCTCCCGAATGAGTCTCCAGACTTTAAGGATAAGTAAATTGAGTTCCCGAAATCATCGATCAGCCCAGTGGGAATAATCATCAAAGTGCTCGAAAGTGGTACTCAAGGCACGTAAAGAGACCGTGCATTCTCATCAGATGAAATGGAAAACTGGTCAGTCTGGTTCACTGGATTCTGACGTTAGGGTTAAAAGATGTTAAACATCCTTTCGAGTAGCAACCGAAAGAGTAAGCTATAAATAAATAAATACACGTTTTGTTCCTCGACGGTGTGACGCACAATCAAACTGAGTGGACTGTCTTTTTTAATCAATATAATGGGCATGACAGTTTCGGTGGCAATACTAATCGCGCTCTGAAATATTCTTAGATAATTAAACCAAAGTAAAGCATGCAATCAGCAGTGTACTAGAGGGATCCTGTCGGATGATGCACAATGGAATTTATCTGAGAGCGGTATATCGCAAGTAACTTACGTGATCCAGTCGTTAATGATCGAACGAGCTGCCAATGTCGTGTTTGGCACGCCGCCTTTCTTCAGTCTTCCAAGGCGATGCGCAATCTGCACTAAAAAGGTGCGGGCGTCAGAGTAGTCCTGGATATCGTATTTGGACATAAGTTGTTCCTTGGGACAACGAGCCAAAATAGCTTCGATGACAGGAATCGGATCGGGCAATAATTCCGGCTATGAAAGATAAACCGACAAAAATGAACAGCAAAAGTAAAACAGTGCGAATTTCGTTGAGAACAAGAATAGTGAAGTGGCGATAAAGCAAGCTGACTTGAGATGTTCGTATGTATCTACCGCATGGTGTGCTAATAAAAGGACGCCTCAGGAAAGGTAATAAATTGAAAATACAAGATGAAAACACTACTAAGATGAAGGGGACAATCAGAGTTCCTAAAGGGGTACAACAGTGAATGGGAGGATGCATGTTGACAAGTAAGAGATGGAGATCACCAGCGAACAGCCGCAACGACTCCAAGACCCTTATACCAAACAGAGCCTAAATTTACTAATTTAGTCGAATTTATGATTAGCTACTGAAAATACCAAGTGAATCGATGCGATACTGCAATTAGACCAATTTATCAACGATAGTGGTGACATGGCTGTGTGTGTGCAGACAAATATGGTAGTACTGGATAAGCGGCCAACCAGAGAGAACGTGACTCAGAGGACAGCAGCAAAGTAAAAAACAAATTCCGCTATCAAGTGCCAACCAATGCAAATCAGTGGTCTAAACAAATGCATTATGAGCACCGCTGGTCAGAGAACATCTAGAGGAATTGCTAGTCCTGTTGGGTACTGCGTCGATAAGTCCACAGAGAGTTGTACAATGTTTACAAAGTCTTCAGAAGCTGTGACCAGGAAGAGCTTCCCAAACCACTGCAACAAATACCTCGGTAATTTGGACAACACACAGCACCTAAGTAATCACTGATGAGAGGATGTTGATTTACTCGAACGGTTAGTGAAGGAAAAAATCTCATGATCGCGTTAATTTATACTGTAGTGTGACAAGTTTATCTGACTATAGTGCAAATATTCCATCGGAGAGAGAAGGCCCATTATGAGACGGACAGTGGAAAGAAACAAATACAATCCACAGTACTAATATTTCTGGGCACAGAATCCGTACAGTGTTGCTTACAGCATCGTTTTAAGGGAATAGGATTAATCACGCCCGAAACACATCAATGAGGAATACTATAGAAATAGGTCGGTGTGGTCTCTAGCATTAGCACAGTAGGAGCAAAAGTATTCGGCAAAGCACATACAGCAAGCTCAATGGATAACTAGAGCAAAGCGCTGCGTCAAGTTCGGGTCAGGACCATTCGTTACCGGCTGTCAAGGGATCGGTAAGACTGTTGGTACATTGTGGAATAAAACAAAACATCCGTCAACTAAATAGTCGATCAGCTAGAATCAGTCGATCGAGGTGCGATGAATCTAGTTGCCTTGACCAATGCTACCAAAAGAAAAGCAACTATTACAATTATTCTTTAAGAAGAAAACACCGGAATTACAAGCATGAGATTGGATTTAGGAAAAAGAAGTAGGAGGACAAAAGCAGGACCGTCATCGAGATGACTGTGTCAACTTCCACAGGGTAGCTGACCAATGATGGGGCGACCACCAGAATCGCACCGAAAAAAACATCAAATGAAAACCTAAATCAGTTCCGCAGTTGCTGCACGTCGCTTCGCTTTGTTACTGACTAAGAATCTTGAGGTTGTTTTCCAACTGGCGCAAAATTGATAAACGATACACGCGGAAGCACCCTGTCTGTACGCAGGTGAAGCAGATAACCCTGCCTCTGGAAACATAATACGATGGCCAGGTAAAACTAATCGCGTCGCAGTTGCTATAGTTTCTGTTGTGGCCTTCTATGTATCGCGAAAGTGCCGACCTAAACATCCAAACGCTCGACTCAAAGCAGAAGTCGAAAAAGATCAGTGAGGAAAACTATTGCAAGACAAAATGAGATACAGGGTGTTTTATTAATCTGGCCCGGAGCTAGGAGCGGCTCCACTCAGCTACTGACGTACACCGATACGCTGTATTGCTAACTGTTCAATGGCGCAAATTGCTTTGCCGGCAAGGGTGAGATGGGACACAGACGCCACATGTGTGTCTACGATCGCAGAGCACACCGAGCCATTCGGCTTTGAGAAATGAACGTTAGCCGACACCACAGCCGCAACGAATTCGTCATGCCTCGACCGCAGGGCAAGACCAACGCACTGCAAGCCATTCGGCTGTGAGAACTGGACGTGAGCCAAACAGCACAGCCGCATTGAATGTGTCATGCTTCGATCGATCGGTAGTCGGTGTAACAGACAAATTAACTTGATTAGTCTACCTGGAGCGTTCCCATACTGATTGACCCAAAAACGACCAATCACTACCCCTTGATTGCTTACTGGACTCCGTTTGATAAAACTTTGTTTCTCTTTCACATTTTAACCATAAGAGTTTACCCGTTTTGCATCGCGCAAAGGTTAGGCTTGCTACTCGCACGTTCCATGTGCAATGCTGCTTGGAGGGTCGATTGAAGATTGATCACTTCGCTTTAAACCACGCTGACATTAGAACCGCTTCGCTTCATTGTGCCTATCTGTTGATCATCGCTGTTAATGGCACGATGCATTTGAGGGCCGAGTTATCGTGCACATCTGGTCTGCAAATCGTTTGAGCATCTTAGCTCTTCTGGATTTGACTTCTGTACTGACCCGACTGCGCCAGGAATTCCATAGCTCTTCAGGATTTGAATTTTGGATGAATTGGCTGCACTAGGAGTTGCTCAGGTTCAAAGACCGACTTGTCGGTAACAGTCGGCATTTACACAGGTGAAAAGCTAACAAAAGAGTTTTCTGCGAAGTGGTTAGTGGGTCGTTGTGTTAGCAATTGCGTAAAACAGCCTGGCCGTATGTGATGACCGGTCGATGGGCGCCGTATTGCTATCGCCACAAAAGCTGTTAGCGCCTCATGACTGGCTTCCAACAAACCCGTAAGCTTATATTAGGCTGCTTTCGCTGTTAAAGTGAATCTTACTGCTAGGAGCACATTGTAAGATTACAGTGTTGTTCGGTTTACCGTTTCGATCGCGTGTGTGTTACAGCTGAAAAAACACCCTTCATGGGTGCATAAAAAGGAATCCTTGACTTGATGTGACTAAACTCTTAGATCTCAGTTTGCCTCGACGCACTGGTGACATCATTAGACATCATACCAACAGTCACGAATTCAACTATTGCCTTTACAGTCAGACAATTGCTAGTTGTACAAATTGATCAGATCTTCGTTGGTGTTTCCCATGTGCAATCGAGAATATGCCTTTTTTCATTTCTGTGCTTATATTTACATGAAAGGTGTGAAATGTCTGTAAATGTCAACGAATTAGATGTTCGAAGTGCCCACCGTCGGTTTGGCTACGGAGGAGCATTCGCCGAATGGTGTTGACGAGCACTTTGTGCAATGTCGCCAACAAAATCTGCCTACATTCGTTCACAATGTGCTCTTTCAGTTCATCCATGTTGTTGAGTTTCGTTTTACCAACTCTGTGTTTTAAGTGTCCCCATAGGAAAAAATCTATGGGATTCAGCTCCGGTGGTGGTGCAGGCCATTCTATCGGTCCTCCGCGACCGATGCAGTGTCCACCGAATGTCTGGTTCAGGTAGGCACGAACCGATTTCGCCGAATGTGTAGGTGCGCCATCCTGCTGCCACCAAACGTTGTTCGTTAACCATTCCGATTGCAGCTGCGGAATGCCGCTGCTCTGCAACATTTCCATGTACGAGGACGCTAAGAAATATCAGCCATTAGTACTGTTAATCAACAACCTACCGGGTACATCCTGGAAAAGAAAAAGGGCCCAATGATCTTTCGACCAGTCAACCCACCCCAGGGCATGAGCTTCGCACTACGTTGCACACGTAAAAGCGCCACATTGGCGCGGGTTGGTTGTTGCCCAACATGTTGCGTATCTTGGCCAATGCGGGGGAAAACAGCCTCATCGGTGAACAAAATGAAACGCACATTCAGACCTTTTAAAAACAAACCGGCGGATTTCAAGCGCTTCTGCGAATCGAATATGTGGTGGTAGCAGGATGGCGCACCTACACATTCGGCGAAATCGGTTCGTGCCTACCTGAACCAGACATTCGGTGGACACTGCATCGGTCGCGGAGGACCGATAGAATGGCCTGCACCACCACCGGAGCTGAATCCCATAGATTTTTTCCTATGGGGACACTTAAAACACAGAGTTGGTAAAACGAAACTCAACAACATGGATGAACTGAAAGAGCACATTGTGAACGAATGTAGGCAGATTTTGTTGGCGACATTGCACAAAGTGCTCGTCAACACCATTCGGCGAATGCTCCTCCGTAGCCAAACCGACGGTGGGCACTTCGAACATCTAATTCGTTGACATTTACAGACATTTCACACCTTTCATGTAAATATAAGCACAGAAATGAAAAAAGGCATATTCTCGATTGCACATGGGAAACACCAACGAAGATCTGATCAATTTGTACAACTAGCAATTGTCTGACTGTAAAGGCAATAGTTGCATTTGTGACTAAGTTGGTGTGCTGTCTAATGATGCCACCAGTGCGTCGAGGCAAACTGAAATCTAAGAGTATTGTCACGTCAAGTCAAGGATTCATTTTTATGCACCCATGAAGGGTGCCTTTTCAGCTGTAACACACACGCGGTCGAAACGGTAAACCGAACAACACTGTAATCTTACAATGTGCTCCTAGCAGTAAGATTCACTTTAACAGCGAAAGCAGCCTAATATAAGCTTACGGGTTTGCTGGAAGCCAATCATGAGGCGCTAACAGCTTTTTGTCGGCAGATAGCAATACGACGTCCATCGACGGTTCATCACATACGGCCAGGCTGTTTTACGCAATTGCTAACACAACGACCCACTAACCACTTCGCAGAAAACTCTTTTGTTAGCTTTTCACCTGTGTAAATGCCGACTGTTACCGACAAGTCGGTCTTTGAACCTGAGCAACTCCTAGTGCAGCCAATTCATCCAAAATTCAAATCCTGAAGAGCTATGGAATTCCTGGCGCAGTCGGGTCAGTACAGAAGTCAAATCCAGAAGAGCTAAGATGCTCAAACGATTTGCAGACCAGATGTGCACAATAACTCGGCCCTCA